TACTAAATCCAAAGTACAATTTAACTACTAAATTTAAATCATCAGTTAACTCAATTTCAAACCACTTAAAATTCTAATACGTAACACTGGTCACACAACACCTGCCACTGAATGGGATCCAAATATACAACAAAGGCCCTTGCAAAAAAAAAAGAAGATTAATGATGCACTTACCCACTTGAAGAGAAAATGTGAAATGTGTAGCACAAAAAGGTGACTGGAGGAAGATGAAATCCTTCAGAACAACAAATGGCCAGTTGGTGAAGATAATAAGCAGTAAAGGTACGGGGAGTGGTACATATACTGGCACCAATGGACGATGAAAATGAGCAGCCAGAGACAGGATGAGGTGACTAATATGAAAGAAAATGCTCCAAAAAGCCCAATCAAGCTTGATAAAGCAATAATAAGCCAAGTAAGTCCTAAAACAATGGTAATCAGATAATGGTGACAAGACTGGGAAGGATTCCAAGGAAGAAACAATGAGAGCAGTCATTACGGAAGAAATCATACCTGCCCTGTAGCAGGGGAGAGCCCTTACCAGGCAGTGATAAAGGATCTGCAATGAGATACAGGGCACCCAGAATATGACAAGCCAGCATAAGAATTTGATGGCTGTAGCCGAACATAGGAGGACCAGTGGCCTACACCAGAGGTCAAGTTACTGATCGCTCACTTGCCTGAAAATGTATGAGACTAGGCACAAGTAGTTGGAAAACACTACCACTGACCATTCCAGTAGGGCTGAAAGGAAATAAACCAGAGCCCAATGAACTGCTAGGAGCCCAGGGGGATGGAAAAGTGAGAAGACTCTGAGATAGACCAGCATTTGAAACCTTTCTGAACAACCATTAGATCACCTCAATCGTAAAGGGGAGCTCCAGCAAAAAAGAAACATTATGGACTTCGAGGAGGAACACCCAAAAAGGTGTTGACTCAATCCAGCCAAACTAGCAAAGTCAGTTTGGAAGGAAGAATGAAGGAAGCATTCAAGGGATTCCAAACAAGGCTCCACTGGACCAAAAAAAATTTTCATACGACAACACATAAGAACTTGACCAAGATAAACGAGGGCTTCCCAAGAAGCCCATGTCCCCAAATGAAAAAGAATCTCATGCAAAATAGAAGATGTAGAGGAGGAGGGATTGTAAGCTAGTCCTAAACCAAAATGGAGAAGACTGCACCCAACTGAATAAGAAAAAATAATCCCTCAAGATGAACAAGGTATGTTATTGGGGTGAAGAAAAAAATGTTTCCACCCTCACCAATCAATAAACCTGAGCCTCTACTCTTAGAAGAAATGAGTAAGAAAAGGCAGAATTGGCTTGTAAGGAAGCCAGATGTCCATGGCATGGTGGAAATGACAGCCCCCGAAAAGGAACAAAACAGGCAAAGACCCGGACCATCCGAATTGTAAAGATCCGAGGAGAGGTCAAACAGAGTCCAGACTGAAAACACACAACCCAAAGCAGAGCAGAATACAGGGAAGAA